ACATTTGTCAAGATCTGTACACGTCAGAAACAGAAGATAGAGAAAAATGAGACGCAAAGCTTCAAGAATTGCTGCAAATTTATTTGCATCCATATTGTTAAGTGGGAAAATCCCACGTTAAGTATAAAAATAATAAGCTTGTGGGTTAAATACAAGGAGGGACTCCACCTATTGCCAATTGGTTTTACGTTGGATGTAAGCCTTCGGACATTTGGCAACTTCGGGTCCTCAAGATGTTCTCTCAGTTCCTTCCGAAGCAGAATGGCGCAACGAAGCTGAGCGTTGAGTGTCCCCAATTCTACATGCAATTCTGTTGTTTCATTTTTCCGAGTTTCCAATTCTCTTTCCAATTCAGCAATTTTATTGTTCAGAGTTTCCACTAGAGGTTCCATTTCCTTAACTTTTTGTTTCGCATCCTAGATGTTCAGAACATTAAAAAAAAAAAAAAAAAAGATGGAAATAATAATAATAATAATAATCATAATTAAGAAGATCAAAATGGAGAGATGATGAATGCATAAATTACCTTCATATTGTTATAATTCTTGCTGTTACGCACTGCTTTGTTTGCTTTTAATTCATCAGGAGTCAGTTTCCTCTTCTTGCCTCCTATTTTGGTTTGATGGGGTGAAGCCTCAACGACTCCAGCCATCCGGCCTCCTGTTTGGGGTTGATCTGAGGAAGCCACAACGACTTTAGCCTTCCGGCTTCCCTTTCGTGGTTGATGGGAACAAGACTCAGCTTCAATACTCCCTTGAATCCCCACCATTTCAGTTAAATCACGAGAAGCTGTTTTCTTCACGGACTCCATCTTCTCAAAGAAAAGCTCAGCAAATAGCAGTATAGGGAGCTTTGCAAAGGGAATTAAAGGCTTAAGCCCCAGAGCGTTTTATATTAATGTCTGCCCTGTATACTAAAAATACAGTTTAAATATTAAATTACAAAATTATTAAAAATATTTTAACAGATTTATAAATTGAATTGTATTTTTAACAGACGAGAGACGACCACCTGTAACACTTTCTCGTTTTCGATTGAAGCGTACGCCTATATTTCTCTTCCGGGACCGACCGGTTCCCCAACGGATTGGTGCGGATTGGTCAGTACGGTTTTTTTCTTAAATCTAAAAATTTAAATTTTACTTTCTAGTCTTGTAATTTTAATTTTTAAATTACTAAACACCTAAACTTATAAATGTTAATCTTTAAATTTTAAAAATCAAAATCCTAACATATTAAACCTCAAATTTAAAAAAAATTTAAACTTAATATCATAAAATATAGTAAAATATAAAACTCAACAAATTTCAATCCTAACATTACATAATATAAATTTATGAATTAAAGTTTAATATCAAAATATTTAGTAGCATTGTTAATTTTCAAAACTTTGATAATTTTAGAGAATTAAGTTTTGACTATGGTAGTAAAATTAATATAAATTTATAATAATTCAAAATGATTTTTATAACATATACCCAAATAAAAGGAGTATGATCATTAATAAATAATATAAAGTACCTGAAACCCCATGGTGGGTGTAGGAGATAGATCACAAATATCAAAATGCATGAGGTAAAAAGGAGCAATAGAAAAAAAATGACTACTCGAAAATGATAAAACTAATTGCTTTGCAAATTAATATGACACACAATGTAAAGATTTATTCAAAACAGATCCTAATAAAGCATAAAAGATAAGTGGATAAAATTTACCAACTGAGAAATATCTAAACCGTGAGTGCTACAAATGGAGAGAAAAAATGTTAGTAGCAACACATGCTTGCAAAATTTATTGGTATGGAATTTGTAAAGACTGTAATTCAACAACACAAAAAAATGTTTGGATAAACCGGTCATTTGAAATTGTCCACTTTTTCAAAGTAAATCCATATAAATATTTTATAAAGCGATGCTTACCCTGAAAAAATATTAAAAAATATTAAAAAATATTAAAAAATATTGAGATTTGTCAAAGCAACTTCAAGATCAATGCTTCAACATTCACATTCTTTTAAAGAATCTTTGAATCTTTATGTCTGTATACTTTCTTTGTGTGTTTATAGTTTTATATTGTAAAATCCCTAATTTCTTGGGCCTTAGGATTTGGAAACCATCCCCATTTTATCTCGCCAAGAATTTGCTTTGACGAGTCTATGACAACAGAATCCAACAAAACATCTGTCTCAACCAAAAAAATCCAAGTCAAACGCAGAGCTGGAGCTGATGAGTGGAACATTAAGTTTTAATGGATTGTTGACGTCAGGCTATAAAAAGGGGCTAATTTGCCACAATAGACGAGTTGAGGGGTTTTTTTGTGCATGAACTGACTTGAGGGGCTGATTTGCCACCACACGACGAGTTAAGGGATTAATCTCCATGTTTTGCCGAATTTGGCCTCGTGCAATGAGAAATCCATCCAAGAATCAGAACTTCAATTTCTACCAACATTTACTCATTCAAGAACAAAAATCATACTCGAACAAAAAACATACTTAAGGACTGGATTTGTTTTTAGAAATTTCCTGCAGTTTTTCTACACCAAACCCTCGAATGCATAGAATGGCAAACAGAAATCAGGAAACATCATCATCTACCAAAATAAAGCCATTGAATCGGATGCGAACAAATTTTAAAAAGAACGAAGAAAGAGGTTCCATCAAATCCAGAATGAAGTTCGATCTGAAATTGAAGAAAATGTAAACACAGACAGTTCCTAAGCGACTTACAGGAAGGAGTTGATTATCGTTTCTTGAGCAGGAACGGAAAGCTTCAGCTGCTTCAATTGCGTCTTCATCTTCATTGTTTCTAGGTTAAATTTTGGTTCTTCCTGTGGAGAAATCTCGATGCTCTCAAGATCAAGGGATTCTTTCTGATTCCAGATAAAGCCACGATTTGAGACTTTGAGTCGTTAAAGTACTATAAATTCAAACGAAGCCGACCGCGCCAAAAAAAAAAAAAACTATTTTGGTTTGGGTAAAGAGACAAGAAAACGATGAAGAATACTTCGTGGGCGGTGGATCTTTTAGGCTGGAAAGGTGCGAAAATTGGGTCACTTTTTCAAAATTGAACCCAAAGAAAGGTGGACAAGCCGACTTGGTCTTTGCAAAATACTGCCCAAGTAAAATTTCAATGCGGTTTTATTTAAGCGAGCCCAAGTCCAAGAAAATATGAATAATGATAAGTAAGATGAAAATTTAGAACCAAGATTTAGAACTAATAACATGATATATATATATATCATGTTATTAAATTAATTAATATATTTAATATTAAAAATTTTACAAACAATAAAATGAGTCAATGATTAAGTAATATAAATTTTTTTTATATTTTAAATAATATGACTTATATGAAATTATTTATCCTAAATTTTCATTCTATCTATCATTGTTCAAAAAAATATTGGGCCACTCCACAGGTCCCAGTTCCCACAATCATCTATTTAAGATGACAGATAATCAAAGTATGACTGAGGCGGAATCCATAAGTTAAGAAAAATGCTTATAATTTTCAAGAACTAACTTTCAAAGTAAAAAAATAAAAAATGAAAAAATAAAATCTGTTTAAGACCGGTTGGAATGAGAAAATTTTATTTAACCATAAAGAGATTTTTGAAAGCATTTTAAAATGAAACTCAAAAAATTAACACTTTTGGTCGGGTCGAATCATGGAAGGATTATACAGAAAAACCGACTTACCGAGGAGTGGAATCCAAAGTTCCAAGCACTTCTCTCAACCCCTTTTTTTTTAAAAATAAAAATAAATTAATTAATTAATATTGTAAGATTATAAGTTAATTCTTATGATATAACACATTAAAAATACTATAAAATTTAATTTTAAAAGTACAAAATACTTAATTAAATAATTTTTTCTTTGAACATGAAAAATTTTTAAAAAAGGAAAGTAATTTGATTACTATTAGTATTAGAGTAGGCAAAACTCTAAGAATTTTTTTATTTTGTATTATTAAGGCACAAAATAAAAATATAGTAAATGCATATTTTTATAATTAATTTTTATTAAAAGTATAAAAATTAATTTTAATTAATTAATTATTAAAATTATTTATATATTAAT